TTTTCTACCTCATCTTCACACCGAGGCAAATAATAAAGGAAAAGAAAGCTAACATACAGGGGTTTTTTTAAACATGATAATAGATTTTGAAGGGGTTTTCATTTCAAGCCTGTCCAGATAAAGTGAGTCCCAGGCCCCTGACTACAAAAGAAAATCCAACACTTTAGACAAAGGATGAACCTCTCTCCCCTCCTTTCTAAAATTGTGACTAGTAATCTAGAACGGTTTCTATCCTGCTGTGGTAAAGGGAGCCCTCAGCTGGGGCTCTCAACCTCTCTGGTTCTGCTACATACATGCTAAGGGATCTTAAGCAAGTTACTAAACCATCCTGGGCCTCAGTTTCCTCATCTGCAAAGTAAGGGTTTGGACCAGATGACTTCTGAAGTACTTTTGAGCTCTTAATCTATGATCCGTGCCTTTCTGCCACATGCCTAAATTCCATTATCCTTTCACTGCTCAATCTAAGGATCCCTGAGGACTAGCTCTACACACCATATATAATATTATCTAAAAAGACATCATATGCCCTTGCTTTTCCCAAGGACACACAAAAATGCTCAGTGATGCCCAGTCTCCCTTTCCAGGGAGGTGCTGTATCTTAAGGAAAATAATCCACATTGTCTATCCATAATCCATGTTTACCACTTGACACAATTCAAATGCACAAAGAACAGCTAGGAAACACAGAGAAAGTAAAGCAGCTTCTTCACCCCAGAGACTGAGCCCATTCCCTCAGCAGGCTTTTTATAACCTCTAGGATTTGCCTAGAGGAGCTCAACAATAGGAGGCTCTTCTTAAACCCTGTTCAGGAAATTCAAAGGCAATTGGAATTTATATCATTGGCTCTTTGACCCTACATTCCCCTTCCTTTCCCACCCCCAGCAAAGATCAGAAGACCCTGTTTAACTACAGTCTAAGCAATCAATATTTGGCTAATTTCCTTACTCTCCCTGGTCCCTTCTAGAGAAGCCTGAGTCCAGGTCTGTTGACGCAGATGGCCAGCTGGAGGCAGGAGCCAGCAACTCAGGATTTGCTTATTTAATGCCTGACTTGTTCATCCTTCTGAAAACATCACCTCATGATGTCCCCATTGATCCCGCCAGAGTGAAGCACTCATAGCTGAGGCTTTTGCGGACTGTGAAATTAAATGAGCAGTTTAGTGACAAAGCAAACAAAATTAATCAATGGAGGAAAAACAACATCAGGGAGCATGTGGCAATGTGGCTGAATCCAAAGGATGCTCACTGTCTCTTCTGCCACAGCTGCTACATATATAGGAGATAACTGCACTAATGAGTTACTCTAAGCAGGACATGAGCAAGTGTACTAGGGCTCAGACACCTGGGAAGACACGTTGGAAGCAAACTTCAATAAATTCTGAATTCAGCCCAGCTAGCTAAGCCAGGCAAAGGGTCTAGAAAAATACCTAATCCATTTCGGTAAGGAAATAATGCTTTATATTTATCTCATATTTTCTTCTTCAGACCACTTTTCAGACACCATCCAGTATATCCTTCTAGTCCCACCTCTGGGTAAGCAGCCACAGTTGCACAATAAAGAAAGTTTCTGCAGCTATCTGACTGGAACATCTACCCTGAGGTGACCGTTCATGTGTAAAGGACATACATGAATCAGGATACAAGTAAACTACTGTGTGTCAGTAAGACACAGAGGGACTACTTTACACCTAGGTTTTTCCCAAAAAAAGTCTTATGGACCCTCATGAATCTGAAAGAGAGCAAGGGATGAATAAATATTAAAGAATTGTAGTAGGTGCACCCAGACATTGTCCTGGGTCCTCATTGGTGAAAACTTTAGGCAACGATGGTGTCTCCCTTTAAAAGGGGCAAAGTACTACATTGTTGAAACAATCTTTGGCACTCCCAGTAGCTTCTTAACAAGGAGTGAGATTTCCTCTGACAAGATTAACACCTTTATAATTTGTGAATTCCTTGTCTTGTCCTAGTTTGTTGCATTAAGAGTACATTAAGGGTGTTTAATTGTTTGGCACCTGGTGTCAGGAAGACTTGAGTTCAAATCCAGCCTCAGACTCCTCTTAGCTTTGTGGCCCTGGAAAAGTAACTTAACACTTGTCTGCCTCTTCTTCTTCATCCATAAAATGGGGATGATAATAGCACCTGTCTTCCAGGGTTACTGTGAGTTTAAAATGAAGAATGCTTCCAAAGCACTTTGCAAACATTAAAGTACTATATGTAAGTACTAGCTATTGATTGATACTCAGCTCATTCATAGACTTGAATAGAACTCTTTAGACTCAACCCTTAAAAGACATTTGGACATACATAGACTCAGTTCCCTGGAGGGCAGTCTGAAGAGCCCTGTGACTCGCTAAGGTATTAATGCTTCAGAAAACCATGTGTAGTAGAGGAGTTCCTGAACCTTTGGAAAAATTTCTAGGTCAAGTTTCTAGAACCCAGCAAGGGAAATCATGGCCAAGCAGAGGGTGATGCTAAGGAACAGCAGGAGATAGTGTCACCATGCGAAGATGCAAGCCTGGACATTGTCTTTCCTTGGTACTGTGAATTATGTGGATTGTGTAGGTCTGGAGAAAGGGAATAACCATCTATAGACATGAGAGCTTTCAGTATCTGAAGAACACGTATGTCCTTAAGAAAGGTTTGTTCTCATTGGAGGGCAATGTTTCTTGACTCTAGCTTCCCCAATCACTTTCCATTTGCCGTAGCAGAGTTTCAACCTTAGGGTGGTATTATAAGTCTAGAAGACGGTATAGGCCCTTGAGGAAGTGAAGGCTCATGACAGAGGGAAGAAGAGTCATCTTGACTATTTGTGGGCTCAAGTATTAGTCTTCTGCATTTTGTCAGGTTGAATAAAGCCTGTGTGGTAGTTCCTAATTTGTTCACCTGAGTTATTGCATGGGAACTAAGGACGTTTTTACTTTGTTGTAGAGAATCAGACATAAGCCAGATTCTGCTGTTCTCAAGGAAAACCCTGGGTATGGTTTTGAATCAAAGAGAGTGAGTATACACAGTAGGGCTCACCCCAAATTAAAGCCAGTCCATGTAAATCCAGAACTTTGATTCTGAGCTAGTCAAAATTCATTTGTTAATCACCTTCTGTGTTCCAGGCACTCTACTAAGTGGTCGGGGTACAAAGAAAGGCAGAAAACTGGATCCTGCTCTCAAGGATTTCATGGTCTGAACTATGGTTGTTTACATAATCAATTGTAGGTCTATATTGTATCTTTAAATATGAATGTATATTAATCTGCCTTAAGCTTGCCCTGCATGAACCCTAAGCATGAACCCTACTATGTAGGTTATTATGCTAGATTACTTACTACATATAACAGCTCAGGACCAGAGTTAGATCTGAAAGAAGACTAGTGTGAAACTAAGAAAACCAGGCCTCAGCAGTAAGATCAGAAAGAAATGATGTCTCCACAAAGCAGGGGTCCTTAGCCTGCATTATTCCTGCATGGTCAACTGTTAGAGAAATGAAAAGGGAAAGTGACCTTTAAAAAGTCATCCTGCAAGGCTTTGTTAGGGTTCCAATTGGGTTCCTTATTTAGAAGGCTGACCTGCAAGACTTCTGCAAGGACAACCAAGGGAAATCTTGACATGAGATGGATTTGACACTTTGAAATCCTGAGTAGTAAAGAAACATTTCATTTTGTTCTCCTCATTTAGAATTTTAAGAGACAGCTACGATTTTTTCTCTCTGGGCCTTCCACTGCTCCCTTCCCTACCCCACCTCCAACTGTTTGGAAGTCAAACACTTCTTTCATTTGGCTTATCTACTACAACCGGAAGGTTTTAGTTAGCTGATTTGTCAATGAATAACTTTGCATTTTTCCTCTTGCCATCCGGCAGTATTATCACTCTAATGAATTGCCCTGGGTTGCACTTTTTTAGTTTTCAAGTGTGACTTTGAGTTGAATTGTGCAGTATTCATAAATGGGGAATGCAGACTGATGCAATTATAAGCAACAAAAGCCTCAACGCTGCCTGAGAAGATGGTGACTTGGCTATGTCTCTCACTTTCACGGCCTGATAGCAATTTGAAAGGTACTTGATTATTTTTGGAAAGAGTATTTCGCATGTACACTTATATCATCTTGATAACTTTTAATGTTTGAACCTTTCATTTCCCCCAATTCTTTGCATTTGAAATAGCAAAACTATGTGTTTCCAGGCTTCTCATGGAAATCTTTTCTTAAAAATCATTTTCAGGGTAGAAAGGAAGTGTGGCATAGCAGGGTGACTGTTTTATGCTATGCTTAGCGCTTTGGTTTCCTCATCCCCTCCTTGGACCATCCTCAGTGCTGCCATCCCTGGGACTATAAATCACTGAATGTCTGTGGCTGATTAGCACAGGAGGTTGGAGATTGAGCTAATGGAACCAAGGTCACAGAGCCTGTCCCTGATAAGGGCTAATTAACTTTTCTCTGTTCCGTGGCCCCAGTTTGTATCTCTAATCCTCTTCAACCACTCTGAAAATAAAGTGATGTTCTTGCTCAAAGTGAGAGCGTGTAGACACATTATTGCAACTCATTCCTTCAACTAGACAAACAACTCAAACCCTACAGTAGCTTGAACCCTAAGTATGTAGGATAATATGCTAGATCACTAGGCACAACAGCTCAGGACCACAGTTTGTCCTAAAAAAAAAACCCAATGTGAGACTAAGAAAACCAGGCCTCAGCAACAAGACCAGAAAGAAATAATGTCTCCAAAGAGCACAGGTCCTTAGCCTTTTTTGTATCCTGGACCCCTTTGGCAGTCTGATGAACCATGAACCCCTTCTCAGCATAATGTTTTTAAATGCATAAAATAAAACACATAGGGTTGCAAAGGAGCTGCCTATATTGAAATACAGTTCTAAAAAAGTTTTTTTAAACAAATTCATGGGCCCCAGGTTAAGAATCTTTGCCATAGAACAAAAGAGTTCCTTCTTGTCCCAAGAGAGGATCATCTCCAAACTCCCCAGAACCCAAGAAAGGAGAGAACCCAGCAGCTCACCAGGCGTTGCACTGGACACCGTTGGCCACTGCTGATCAGGCCCTCCTGGCCCTGCCCGCAGGATGCCGGCTTCCTCCAGGTGCACAGAGCTGAGGAAACACACACACATACAGTATTTAGATAATTGCCTTCAAGATCCTCCTCTACATTTAGAAGTCTTTCCAAAGCATTGGGGCAGCACTGCAGCTAATATGTTCTCCTCATGCTCAAGCTGAAGCAATTGTCATGTAACTATTCTGCATGAGATGCAGGATCAGGGCTGGTTTATCTACTTCTTTTACAACATCTTTGCCAGAGCTATTCATCTAATAAAAACATTACCTTTACAGAAGTTTGCATTTTCATTTTTATGCTATATGACACAGTAATCCTGTTAAAAATAAACACTGGAGCTGGCCATGTTGGTGCACACCTATAATCCTAGCTCCCAGGAGGCTGACACTGGTGGATCTATTCTGCTCGGGATTCTTAGCTGCAGTGGTCTGTGTCAATGGGGTGTCCACACTAAGTTCAGTATTAATATGGAAAGTCCCAGGTGAGTGGGGTCGTATAGCCAGCAAGTTGCTTAAGGAGAGGTGAACTGACCTAGTTCAGAAACAGAGCAGGTCAAAGCTCCCATGCTTATCACAGTGAGACCCACCTCCTGAGCCACTTCCAGTGTGAGTGAGATAGATAACCCAGTCTTAAAAAATAGATAAAAAAGGAAAAGGAAAGACATCAGAGTGTTAATGCCACTATAATGTCTTAATTCTGATTTAGACAAGGAAACTTCTACCTAATAGCTCCAGGCTTCTCTCAGCTGGTTCCTCCCACCTAGGATTCTACAACAAATATTGAATTTTGTTAATATAACTATTTCCAGGTCCCTGTGGAATTATGCTAATTCAGTCACCAAATCAACTCTCACCTGGACCATCTGACTTTCTCCTGTTAGATCTGACATATGCACATGCCACCTATCCTTTTCCTCCAGTCTATAGAGCTGATTTTGCTACACTTATGGCAACCCAGTACCAATCCCTCCAATTCCTAACCCAAGAGAACAGAAAACAAGAGAAAAGGAATAAGCCAAAGGACAGGAAGAACCTTGGTCAAACGTGTTTCCTTCCCACAGTCAGAAGCCAAATGGTGGCAGAGACACAAGGGACACCTCTTTTTTTCTTTCAAGCTAACAAATTACGAAGAAGACCTTTCTGAGGTGTCTGAATTAAAATGTACTATATACTTGGGGTTCAGTGGCTGAAAAAGTCAAATAAGAATTTATAAAATCTGAAGTCAAGATTCCTTGCCAATTCTCACGACTATAATGACTTAGAAAGAATTCCCAGTTTCCCCTTCTCTATTCCACAAGATCAGCATCTCTTCCTTGCTCCAAATATCACTAGCCTCCAAGAATAATTAGAGGCCTCCAGTGGCACATGCTATAGTAGTGCTATGTCTAGTTAGAGGATAGTAACTCTAAAATTCACCCTGTGCTTAGTCATCCTAAGAAATTACGCTAAGGCCTCATTTAGCCAAGGGCAACTTTTTGGTGTAAAATCCTTTTTTATTATATACTTAACAAACTTTAAAACATTTCGATATATAAGAAGCACAGAAAAGAAGATTTTATATGAAACTGTTAACTTTTGTTACATACGGTTTTGAAGTATATATTAAATTTAACATAATATTAATGAAACTACTCTGAATATCTGTGTCCCCTTTGGCATTTCCTCCTGCTATGTTCTATGAATTTTTAAAACATTTCATTGATGTTTTTCTCTTTTTTGTGTATTTTCACTACCCCCTAAATGCCTCCCCCACCCCCAAACAAAATCCTTTCCTTATTATAAAATGTTAATTTAAAAAAATCAACACATTGGCTATATCTGAAAATGCATGTCTCATTCTGCACCTCAGAACATTACCTCTCTTCCAGAATGACTTCACAGAAAGGGATCCATATAATTTTTTAAAGATGAGAGGTCCAAGAGGATAGGTAACCATTTGAAAATAATCCCATTTAGAGATCACAACTCCAATGCACATTCCACATATTATTCAATAAAGAATCAGTGGGAATTCTTAAGATATTCTTTCTTCAACTTCCATTTCACTCTCTATAATACATAGAAGCATGTTACCCAAAATTTGATTCAGGTTACCTTTACATAAATTCAGGACTCATTATTTCTCTAGTATTCTGTGCCCCCCCCCAGCCAAAGCCATGGGTCACCTTGCTTCCCATGCAATAGAAAGAGGAATATTCTATGGGAGGCTATGCACCTTTCCTGCATTGCCACCCCAAGACCTAGGTGCAGGAGGACAACATTTCTGTGGACCTATGGAAAACGGAGAGAAATCTTGCTACTCCCCAGTGGTCTGGGGTCCACAGCAGAGTTTCCAGCCATCTTTTCATGTCAGACTCAGAATGCTTTCCAGCTTTCTGTCTGACACTGTCCTCATCTTCCTAGGCCCCTGACAAGTCTGGTCCTAATTGGCTCTGTGGTCAGAAAAAAAGCACAAATTCCTTATTGCTTTTGGCCAGAGGATGAGGCTCACAACAGAATGGTTAATCTGAGCCCCAAAACATTTAATTTTTTTTAACATACATTTGCATTAATTTGACATCACTAACTATAAAGAATGATTAATATTCATCTTTACTTCAAAGGAAAATTTATCTTGGTTGATGAAAAACTCAGTGAGGAAACATTTCAGGAGTACATGTTGTCAAGTGTGTGTTTTTAGGGACTCTTATAGACCCTGGAGAACAAAGGACTCCTTAAAGATGCTATCTTTTTCTAACCAGTGATGACTGATTTCTTAGCCTTCTATTTCTCCCTTCTGGCTTCCAAAGAACTTTCAATTCAATGAATTTTTAACTTGTTCCCATTACACTGATAGCAGGTCTGCTCTAAGAATGATAATAATTAATTACTGCCAAGAAGACAAAGTAGGAAGAACAAAATTACTTTTAATTTAGGTCCTAAAGAGGTACTCTTATTCTAGGATAATGTCTGATCCAGATGGATTTGGGGCTCCAGCCACTCCACAAGTCCCAAAGTATTCATGCCTTCTATTGATCACTTCTGGAGAGATGGCAAATATATGGAAGCATCTTATTTATTTATTCCTATTAATCAATAACAATGGCTGCAGGAACTTGTAGGGATAAGGAGGTCATTAATTAAATTATCTGCCAGAAATGGTTCATCTGTGATGGAAATAAAGGTGAATAACATTGTATTCACCATATAATGTTCCTAGGTCTAAGAGCATCAGGAGCAATTAAAATTTGGGAGGATGAGGGCAGCTAGGCAGTGAAGTGGATAGAACACTGGCCTTGGATTCAGGAGGACCTGAGTTCAAATCTTACCTCAGATACATAATACTTACTAGTTGTGTGACCCTGGGCAAGTCATTTAACCCCATTGCCTAGCTAAAAAAAAATTCTGGGAGGATGAAGGAACAAAAGAAAGTGGAGATCAAAGTTGAGGGGGGATGCTAAAAACGCTATTCTTCAGGAGCAGAGACTACAACATTCTTCTCTCCCCCTCCAAAGAGATATCATAAATCTTGACTTGTTTCTATGGTCGGCAGTCCACTACAGATTTCTCTTAGGATTTATTGGAGGTTGGAACACACAGATCCTAAGGATCAGAAGGCCAAGGCATCATTTTTAAAAGCTTGCTCATAATCTATACCTATGGGTTATCCTCTCAAAAGAATTCTTCTAAGAGAAAAGGAGTACTTTTTTTTTGAGAAAAGGAGTACTTTGAGATCCTACAAGGTGCTTTCTCATGAACCAACTCTTGGCAAGAACTCAGCCCTGACCTCAATGTTTCAGGTGATAGGTCAGTATAGGAAGGGGAGAAGATATTTGCATTTCTCTGGCAAGACAACTAAGGTAGCCCAGGCCACACAGAGACATTTTTTGATTGGGCGGTAAAGAGTTAGAGTAGATTTCAACCAAGGGTGGGACAGAAAGTACATACCTGTGCATTCCTGCTCTCAGAGAGGCAGAGTAACGCCAGTCAGGGTTGGGTTGTTTTGGCTGCAAAAACAGAAGAGGAATGTTTCTGTTATTTTAACAAAAAAAAAACCACATGTTCCTAGCTAAGCAACAATTTAGTAATATTTTACAGAACTCTTCCTAACATCTTACATAGAAAAACTCTTGGAGGTTGTAATAAATATAACCCCAGACTCAGTTCCAAAGACTGGAGTCTCAAAGACTTTTTATTAAAGAGGTTGAAGTGCATCCTTTTGATTCTCATGAGAAGCAGGCACACCTCCTCGGAAGGAGAGAAATGTGTGTGGTGCAAGAAGCCAGAGCAAGCTTTACAGTCAGTAATTGCCTAACTCCTCCCTTCTGGATCAGTATTGGTCCTAATCCTTCTGGGTTACAATCTTCCTCGTATGCCCCACCCCTAACATACATTATGTGCCTAGAATTGTGTTATCACTCCCTCCCCTGGACAAAGAAGTTAGCCTGTCTGTGCTGATTTCTTATCTACTTATGTGGAAACTTAACTCTTTTATTTCTCACAAGGTTATCTGGCGTATCATTTCATTTGCATCTATAAAACTAAGCCATTTTCTAAACAACATCTTCAGCAAAAAGTTAAGCTGGCCCTTTGGTAATCAAGGGTCAAATGCCAGGTAAAGCTGTTAGGGCAATCTATGCTTAAGAATCTCCACCTGAAAATGAACAGAAACATTCATCATTATAAAACACTATGGTCACCTGTGAAAATGCTCTCCCTCTCCTCTATGAAAACAGATCTACATCAGATCTCCACAAGGTACAATGGAGGCAGTGGCAGCAAGTGTGCTGCAGTCTGGCTGGACTGCAGAGCACCGCAATCCACCATTGGCCTTGCAGACTGCAGCAGGTTTCACAGAGGGTAGATGTGCTCAGTCATAACATCAGCATCTGGTACAACCTCAGCTGCTGATTAAAAAGTGGTATCAATAAGAGTGAAACATCAACCATTAATGGCCCACTGGAGAGCTTTGCTTTGCTCTGCTTTGTAATCCTTCCCATCAAAGAATATTTGCTCAGTCCTATTCTCTCTCTCACTAAGCTACTACTCACTAAATTGCTATTTCATCTTACAAAGAGAGGAAATACAACTTTCAAAGGTGGCTAAGACATAACAGAGAATAGCTTAACTCTAGAGAAAACCTTTCTTATTAACGAGGGGCTTGTGTTGGGCAATGTACGAAAGACTTGTTTTTGTCACCTCCATAAACATGAAATCCTAAGTGGAAGAGGTAAGACTACAATTTGGTTACATAAGGGTTTTATCTTGAGAATCACAGACTGATTAGAAGCAGCTCAGAAAATACTGAGAGCTAAGCTCAGCCTTTTTATCACTACCCCTATATCATGCCAGGGACAGACCAGAATAACAGGATAATAACAAAGCCATGGATAAAAAGATAAATGTGTTATATTCAGACATAGCTATCACTGACCTTCAAATTTGGCATCTCCCTTTCCTATAGCTCATCACAATGAATAGGCGCAAAGCCATCATAAAATAGAATGACATTAATAAAATTACTTCATTTTCCTAGTGTTCCTTAAATTCAAGAGACACCAAATATTTTATCAACATTTATATGTACAGTTTCCCAGGGAGGATATATAATGATTCTAAACTCTAGATAGAAAATGGAAAACCCAGAAGTACATCAGAAATTCAGCCAAGGTTGCCAACTCAAAGCAAAGGTATTGCTATAACTCTGGGCTCTTCCCACCCAAGGTCCTCCAATGTCATCTGTCTGTTCAGCCAACTGATTCTGGAAACATTACAATCTGCAAATGGCCTCATCTTTACCGTGTGGACTTTTGAAATATGACAATTAAAATTCCCATGTGGTTTACCATTTGAGTACTGTGAAGAACAAATAAAGAGCCCTACATTTTCCATCAGTGATCTCACTGAGAGCAAAGGATAAAATGTTTGTAAAGCATTTTAAAAATCTGAAAGCATGACCAAAATATCTCTTATTAATCATTATCATCCTCATCTCACTCCTCACCATCAGCAGTACTTGTGTTAGCTTGTCAGCTGTGGGAGCCTTCCTTCCAAAAAGATTCTGACACCTGCTAAGTAAATGCTGCCAATTTCTCCAAGATTGGGTACCACATTTGTGATGAAAATTGCTATAACTTGTTTCTTGGGTTAGAGACATTGACCCAATTTTAGCAGAACTGTTTATATCAAACCTCCTTGAAGGCTCAGCCTATCCCCAAACTATGCTTACTCAATGACCTATATTTTATGGTGGCTTTTTAGATACATTCCCCCAAAATCTATCAGCTACAAGCTGTTCCCCAGACCTTCATTCACTTCCTAGGAACATGGTGAAGAAGGAGCTTATGGCAGTAAGCTGAAATCTTAAAAAGAAAATAAAATTATTTGCCTACCAATTGATTTAATTTTAATATATTAGAGAAATTTAAAGAAGAAAAACATCACAAACATGGGTTTCAACCAGACCTAGACCAGCTTTCAATGATAAGTTAAATTGTATATACATTTCTGAGTGCCATATTTTAGGAAAGACATTTACAAACTGGGGTGACTTCAAAAGAAAGACATTTAAATGGTAAAAGGATTCAAAACCATGTCATGTAGGGATAATCTGAAAGAAATGAGAATGGTTAGCCTGAAGAAGAAAAAAAATTGAGGAAGTTGGTAGAACAGTATCTTCGTATTTGGAAGAACTAGATTTATTTTGCTTGGATTCAGGAGACAATACTAGAAAAGGGTGGAAATTACAAAGAGGCAGGGGATTTTTATTCAATTTAAGGGAAAACTTCCTAAGAAATGGACCTATAGAAAAATAAAATCAATTGACTCATCACTGGAAGTCTTTAGATGGTCATATTTCAGGCATAGATTGGACAAGATGACCTATGATATTCCAACTCTCAGAGTCTATAAGTAGAACTTTGAAATCAAAATCCAAAGTTATTTGTCAACAGGTGATAGTGTAATAATTCTAGCTAGGCTTTTAACTGAATGGTTAGACTGTTGACTCCCAATCTGTGCTCACTGTGCCTCTAGTGGATTGAAAAGTTATTTCAATAGGTCCATCTCATAAATTATTCTGGGGGTTGGAAAAAAAAATGCCTCTCATTCATATATATTTCTATTTTTCCAACACATCTGGCTTCTGCAAGAATTAATAAGAGAACTGTATAATAAACTGAATTCATAGTATATTTTACCATTGTTCATTTACTCAATCAATGAATACTATTAATTATTTTATGTTAAAAAGGAGTCACCATACTCAAAATGGTTACTAACCATTGTGTTAGAAGAACTATTTAGTTCTACTGGTCTTGTACACCTAACTCCTGAACTGAGTTTATTTTTTTTCATGAAACAAAATAAAATATGGTCTCCTGGTCTAGGAATCTGCACTTCTTCAAATGAACAGCATCAAGTCACTAATCATGAAAAGCTCTAGAACATTCTAGATTTGGGCGATGCATTTAAAATATGGAGAGATGTGTGACCTCATTTGTAGTCTCTCTCAGAAAAATACGATATATACAAAAAGAAACAAAAAACCAAACATTCTTTTTCTTCTGTGATCCATCTCTCAGATCATTAAGGCTTTTCACCATTTGAAATAGAGAAGTATGAATCATCGATTGCCACATATTGGCTCATTCATAAATCCACAGATCCACACTGACTAATGCACAATAGCCTTTTCATGCAAGTTCATGTTAAAGCAATAAATAAAGACATTCTGAAAGAGTAAACTACATACAGCACCTCTATTTCCTTTCTAATGGGATTCTACTAATAATTGTGGGAGCCAGGAGTCTTCTACTGCAGATTTCAAAGTAATATCTTATGGTAATTGATATAAAGTGTCTACCAAAGATGCATGAAGCCCACCCTATTCATAGCACTTAGAGGGCTAACACAGATTGGTCTCTTGGTTGATTGAAATAAGGTGATAATAAATATGGTAATTCTGCATGGAATTCATCCCACTACAGACAGTCATTTGTATCTCTAGCACTCAAGAAACTAAAACTAAATTAACAGGAAAATATGACTTTAAAATATATCTAATGAGTTGCAGCCCACTGGAAACTGCTAGGTCTGCTTAATGCAAGATGCACAGCCTGCCAGCACAGCAGTTACCCTTTCACTCACTGTTTCCCTTCCCTAGAGCCTAGAGCCCTGACCCTACAGAGCTAAAAAATGCTGCTTCTGGCCCAGAGAAACAACAGTTCTTTTCACCTTTCAATGTCAGGGACTTTTGTTCTTTTTTTTTTCTCCCACAGGTTCAAATCCTTAAAGATAAACGTACAGTTTTGATCAGTTTAAAATCCCAGTAAAAAAGTACTTTGGCTTTTTACGTTTTATATCATGGTTATGGATATATACACTATATATGTATATAAATGGATATATATTCATGTATATATACACTATGTATATATATATGTACTTCTATATGTATGGATATATATGTCATATAAATGTGTTTCTACCATATATGATTCCCATTTTATCGGAGGATGCCTGAAGAATGGGGGTGGATCTAAATCTAAAAGTCAGTTTCATAGACATGGGCAAATTCCTGCCAATTTTAGTGATAATTCTGGAACTGATCATATGAGTCACAAGTTGCTCATGCGGACAGAGCTATCTATATTAGTGACTAAACAAAATGATGGCCAAGCAGAGCAGAAACCTAACTTGGTTACTCTGTCAAGAAGTCTACATGCCAATACACAATTCCTAGGACGTCTCTCTGCAGAACATTCTGAGTGAAACCAGATGTCCCTTTAATAGCTCGGGCCTGTTTCTGAAGGAAGAGGAGGCCAATGACTTGCAAACCATAGGAAACAGATTTTTCCTCCACAGTCAGTATACGAACATAAAAGCAAAGTTACAGATAGGGCAGAGCTATGATGTTATTGTGTATTGCTTGGGAAGTTCTAAAAGGACTAGTGGAAAAAATTCTTGCATCAGCAAATGAGGGAAAATAGACCTTTTCTCCAAGGTA